GATGACATTACAATTTAAATTTCGAATAGGTTGACTTGGGACATTTTTTTCGTGTTTTTTGTATTAGACCCGTCGTCCATTTATTTGTAAGTCAATGTCCTGGTGTCATAAAAATAACAATACTACCTACCGAGATTGTTGGCGCCATGGTCTCTGTTCTTTAGCACATCGCGTTTATCGACGGTGAACTGGTTGGTGGTCATGAATTGTTTTCATGTATGGGGAATATATTGGACGACTTCGGTTTTGTCGGCTTTGATGTCAAGCTTACGTCATCAGTCCATTCAGCGCCGGCGTTAACAGTAGTTGTTACCAAGGCCACGAATCTTGTAGTCGACTTACGGACAAAAGAACCCCCGAAGGCATTTAAAACATAAAGTACATGTATTGCCAAGTATCTGTAGATTTGTGAAAATAATATTCTATTTTATTATAAGCGCAACCTACTAACAATCATTCAAACTAACATTTCTCAACGAAATGTGTAGAGTTCGTTAGTTCTACGACAGATGGCAGTACAGCGCCATCTTTGAAAATTTGATAGTACTTCATCAACAGCGCGAGGCAGAGAACCAGCTACATGTTGTTAGTAACATTATGATTATATAGATGTCGCTACTAAACAAAATTTCGAAGTGCTCTTCTATTAAAAAAATATTTTACTACTATGGTTATTTACAACTACTGGTATTGGTATGTAGGTACAGTTATCTTCAAAACGATCTAAACGGACGAACTAAATAAAATATCTATTTTAAAATATTTATTTTGTTTTTCGTTTCTTTATTTTTTTCGCAAAAAATTTTTTTTTTTTCGAATTTTGTTTTTATTCTTTTTATTTACACACATATTATAAACTCTCGATAATATGTTCAAAAACCGCAAATTACGACCAGCTCATAGGTAAATTATTTTGTTATAACAAATTTCTTATCTGTGAAAATGTTATTATTGCTTCATAGTAGCATCGAATTCGATGTTATTATTACATTCAAATTTCGAAAATCTCTGAAAAACAAAACAATTTGATTGGACCTCAGTTCTAATATCAGTCGAGATGAAGTTTTATTCGAAGTGAAATGTTAATAGCAAACAATTTTGACAATTTCACACGTTACTTGATATCGAACGATATGATAATTGGGGCCGATTCTAGTTTGTCTATGAATTAAAAATAAAAACTACGGTTGTGTGACACGCGTTTTTATTTGCCGCCATTTCGCCAGTCGTAACATGCGGTTCCTGAACACATGATAGAGAGCTTATAATATGTGTGTACTGATGTAAGTATAATTAAGTACGGAGTAAACAAAAAGTACACATACTACGTACTACGTACTAATATTATGGTCCCCGAATTTTGTGAAAAAAATATAGTAGTGTATGTAACTGTACATAAATAGGCATTAAAATACTCGTGAGATGTTTATATAACAGTCCGTTATATAAACTATAGTTAGTCAGTATTACAGTCAGGAACCATAATATTAGTAAATAAATATGCTGTTTACAAAAATAACAGAATGATCAAAAAATAAAGTTGTAGTAGTATTCATTGGGGGTATCGATGTGTACTTACTTGTTTTTTCCGTACTTAATTATACTTACGTAAGTACTATAACACGAAAAACCATCAACCTTATCATGCAACTTGATGCAAAGTAACGCCACCTGGCGAGTTTATTACGAACCTTTGTCCCGGCGCGCTCGCTGTTGCTGCGTTTCGACTCCTCCGCCACCAATAAAAAGAAAGTGCATGCAATTGTTTTACTGGTGTGATTTTCTTTTGTTGTGTAATATTATTGTGATAGTACCTAAGTGCCAAATAAGTAATAAGTAACTTTAACTTTATAACGACACTGCTGTGTTTTCCCTTTCAAAGTCACCCAGCACACTATTGTGTTATTACAAAATTGTACATACAAGTTTACTTATATTATTACTATACGACTACAAATCAGATTTTATTACCCTTTCTAGTATTTGACACAATTGTCAACTATATGTGATATCAGCAGCACCAAATTTTTATGTATTAGCATATAGTGACGTAATTATGATATCATTACTAATGTTACTGCTGAAAACTTTTTATGAACCCGTGTGTACCTACGGAAATAGAGATATGCAAGGTTTATTTTTAACTAATTTATTTAAAATTGTAAACCTCCCGTTGAAATACAGCTCTATCTACACTTTTTACATAGGGTATTTTAATACAAGTAAGGCCGTAAGTCACCAAGCAACGTCCAGTTAAAATTATTGTAACACCATAGAAACTTAAGAGTCTATTAGACTACCACAGCTGGAATTTAAATTTTTCCCGCACTAATAAGGTTCATTTTGCTAGGGTCGAGCGACAGGGACACTGGCTTTATTTTTTTACAAATGAAATTAAAGCTATTTAAAAACTATATATCGTACAATAGTATACGTATCCTATTTAGTTCAGTTGATATAAGAAAAATCTTTGGTATAATATACCTTTTAAATACAGCAGTTTTCTTGAATTTTTTTTTGTATCCTTAATTTTATATATATATATATTTTCCAATGTGATAGATTCAACACTTTAAGTGCTATGCGGGATCAAGCAAAGCTATTTGAGGTAGTATAGACTCGTTAGGTGCGATTTCTCGGCGACAGCAGTGGCGTCATTGATGTAACGCTTTATTTGCAATTTTTCAGTACATCAGCAGCGCCCGGCTTGCTTTTTCACAAGAACTCTACTGCTACTAAGTATGCAATACTGAGCACTACCATTTTCACTTCAATAAATCTCGAGTCTAAAATGAATGCATATCAAACCCAGTTTTAGTAGCAATAGGATCCTTGTGAAAGAGTTCGTCCAGGAAGTACTGCCACCTTACCTATTTCTGCCGCCAAACAGTAATGTGATCATTACTGTGTTTTGGTTTTAAAGCGTAAGAGTACTAGTGAAATTACAGGCACATGAGACTTGTCACCTTATGTCTTAGGGTGACCGACGCTGTGGCAGTGTACCTCACTTGTTCGTCTTGTAATAACAACTAACCCCAACAGTGCTGAGTTTTAAATTTTGATAGAGTCACAAATTTCCAGAATTGTGTAAGTGTAATGTAATATTATCGCACATCACTTTGGAAAATTAAGCATCACTTATAAAATCGCCCAGCCCTACACAACACTGCACGTCTGCATTACCTAAAAAATTGTAAATGGTACTTCAATTACATGGCGTATAATTACCTATCTCCTTTAGTTACGCATATCGGTCGCAGGACCATTTGGAACAGGGTGAGGTAGAGTGGTAGTAATATTATTACTTACTAGAAAAGCTAGCACATATGACTGATGGTGATATCACTCTATAATATTACTTTTAGGGGAATGTAATGTGATTTGCGAAAGAGTTTTGTGCATGTCTATTACAAATGTTTGCAACGCAAACAACGTAGTTGACAGTCACGTCTCGTTGGTGTGATTCAATATTGAAAGTTAAGAAGGTGACGCTTTTTGAAATAGCAGCATAATAATTTGTTTATTTTTAAATCAGGGGTCTGGTCGCTGTTTCTTATGAATTATTTGGTTGTTTAATGATTTGTGGAGTGTTGAAATCCATGCCACAATCTTACGTAAAAGTTGAAATTTATTTCTAGGTAACAAATGTAGCAGGGGAGATTATTTAATATACTTTGTTTACCAACTTTGTATTAGATATTGAACGATTAATGTGTTGCGTTGGAAGGTGGCTGTGACCCTAGGCATTTTATTAAATTTGACCAACTTCAGCAGTTCCGATTTTTTCTTCCAATACAATAAAATGTTCCTCACATGAAAGTAAGTATATCAGCATGAAAGAAAATAGTCAATTTTATTCATTTTGTACGAAAAAAACATTTTATTAAACTTGTCCGCTTTCCGCTAACCCGATTTTTTCTTTTAATATAATGAAATGATCCTTCTACGAAATTGAGTCGATCAGCCTAAAATAAAAATTAATCAATTTTATTATTTTTTATGGACAACTGACGCTTAAACTAAAACATTACTATACCAAAATTGTTTTCACAAAATAAGACGTAATGGTTCATAAGACAGTTTACCTGTATCTCCTATACTTTTGGATTTGCCCATACTGTCGAATGCGGTCTCTAGCCGCTGTAGCCGCTGTATGCATAGGCATTTAGTTCAATTTTACATTTCCATTTATGAGATGCTGGTCGTACCATACGTAAAGCGATACATTTAGGCTTTAGGCGCTAAACTGTTTACTGTTAAAAATAAGCAAAAATAAATTGGCAACCCTAATCATTGCAAAACATTATTAAAATATTAGAACCCATACAAATGTAGGAAGCCTGTAATAGATTGTATGTTTTTATTGTGTATAGAAGCTGTTGGGTTTTCCATAAATAAATACCTAAATTTCTGTGCTTTATGTAAATTATGCAATGATATTTTAGTATTGCTAATTAGAAAAAAAATACGTGCTTAATAAAGTACCTTATTTCTTTTGCCACTGTGTTTGGTATACGAATATGAATTAATAGGAAAATAACACTACAATGACGCGAAGGTACTCTAGGCCTATTTATTACTATTGTAATGTTAGTACTGTTTTCCGCTTTTAATGTAATGTGCCCATAAACGGTCTCGTTTATTACATTTTCTATATGAACATTACCATAATGAATTTCCAGAAATTACAATATACCACACGTTGAAAACAATAACGTCATTATACGAAAAAGTCAACGAATGGAAAATGACGTTTCTGAAAATAAATTTGAAAGCGTTGAACGCTGCTGAAGAAATACTCTTCTCAATACCTCGACCTAGGTCTAGATCCTGTCTCCCACAATTATGACCTCTTCATTTTATTTTATTTCATTTTTATATTATTTTGTGCTGCTTCGTAATTGTGATAAAAATAAAACATGTTATTGTTATAATAAGTTCCTCTTTGAGCTTCAAAATCTACTTTTCTTAATCTTAAAAATGAAACGCAAGTCAAACTTAGAAACTATTTTTATTTTAATGACTGTGAGAGAATAGCTTATACATAAGAAGATTACGCTATAACACCCATTAGTAGAAAATTAATGGAATACCCTTACAAATAAAATTGTTGCAACCAGCGCTACACAGCCTAAATTCCGGGTGCTGCTCTTAGTAGCGTCGACGTTGAAGTGAACGCTTCTGTGGGCCTTCAGTTCCAGCTTCGCTTCATCATTGGCCATTCCGTCATATATTGAATTATTAGGTGTATCTGTTTCACCATTATCAATAGGCTTAGCAGAAACAGTTGCTAAACGGCTAGTTGTATATGCATCTGGTTTCTTCACCTTGCCACCTTCAAGTTGGTTTTCGTTCGACATTTTCATATCGTCGTCGGCAAATTCATATTCCTCATCCTTTGTCGTTGTTTCGTACTGAGCTAAGTCTAGTAAGCCATGGCCAAGGAAAGTTACTTTGGTATCTACAACGCCATTACCAACTTGAGACATCATTTTATTTGTTTGTATAGGTCTCGGAGAAGTTGTAGTAAGCTTCTTCATGGGCGTAGTAACAACCTTTGGCCTGGGAACTTTCGTGCCAGTTTCAATAACTATATCTTCAGGAATATCGAGCTCAGGCGTTCCTGAGCAGTTAATCAGATTTAATCTTAAGTCAGTGTAGAATAGCTTTCCGTTCAATTGTGTTTCATCGTAATATTCATAGTCTGCATTCTTATCAGAATCCATTGATTCTTCAAACGATTGCCCGTTGGCTTTCTCCTGTTCTTCGATGTTGTTCCAAGCTTCTCTTAAGCGAGAGTCAGGGTTGCATTTGAGATTTTCCAACGAAATTTTGAGGTTCTTGCTTTTAGTTTGATTCATGAGAGCCATAAACCAGTCAAGACGGCAATCGCAAGGGAAGTTGTTGCCTGAAACATAAACAAATTATGGATTTAGTAAAATCAGTACCTAGCGTAGCAAAGTCTGAGTTGGGAGGCCTGGAAACCTAAAATACAAATCATAGATTTAGTTTAGGCTCCAGCTTTCCACAAATGTAATTTGTTTTGAAATTGTCACCTTAGATTTAATATCTCTTTTAAAGTAATATTTGTGGAAGGAGAAATAAACGATTTTTATTTTTTTTATTTTTTATAAAAAGTAAGGGCAATTTGCAAAATTAAAAAAATGCTTACAATGCAATTTCCAAATTCAGAAAGATTGTCTTTAAACTTACAATTACGTTAACGTTATTCTATGTGACTTACATATACGTAACGATTAATAATTGGCAGATTGACAAAAAGACTTGAAAAGGAATTTATGTAGATTGCCATTATGATTTCTTGAACTACGGTATTTGGACTGTGCAAATTTTAACTCACGGATAACATACTCACCGTCAATATCTAGACTGCTGTCGGCGCCGTAAAAGTTTTTGAGTACAGGAGACATGACGTCTGGCCTCAATTCTATCAGTTCATTACCTTTGAAACTCAAAGACTGAAGTGCATGCAAACCTTGGAAAATATTCATATTGTCCAGGATCGTCAACTTGTTATGAGCCAGAGATAAAGTTTTCAATTTAGATAAACCATTAAATCCTTTATCATCTATCATTTGAATCATATTGCTGTCCAAATTCAATGACTCCAAACTTATAAGTGGCGAGAAGGTGTTATCTCCAATAACTTGCAACTGATTATTGCTAAGGTCCAGTTTTAGCAACTTGCTTAATCCATAAAATGCCTCGTTGTTTAAGCTGAATATTTTATTCATGTTCAATTCCAATTCCCTTAACTCGTGCAGATGAATGAATGCTCTGTCATGTATTGTAGTTACCTTGTTGTTAGTGAAAAAAAGCTTTTCCAAAGAAGGTAAGTCTATGAATACGTTTCTGTTAATCTCCTCAACGCTGTTCTGGTCCAGATTGAGCTCTGTTAATTCTTTCATATGAGAGAAAGAATATGGTTCGATCATTTTAATCTGATTGTTTCTTAGATACAATTCCTGTATTGTAGATGAGTTAGCGAATACGTATTTCGGTATCGTTTCTATGTTTCCGTACTTGATTTCAAGTTTAAGTAGGGTTGTTGTGTGTGTGATCGCCTTGGTTGGAACGTACGGTAGGTGGATACCCCTTGTGTTGGTGAATGTTAATTGTAGGACATTTTTCAATGTTTCGAAGAGTTCCCAGCTGTTATCCACAGGTTTGACGTCTTCCACTGAGAGGAAACATTCAGCTGAACGAATAGTGGTGGGATCTCTAATATCCTTGACGCAGTAGCATTGAACTTTACTTGGGTTATTGTACATAGGGTCGCAAATTGTGTGAGTGACCATGTTGCGCTTCTGGAGATCTCCTTTGACGACGACTATGGCGAGAGCGGCTAAGAATATAATGAGCATTTTGCCGGCAGCCATTCTTGTTGAGTTTTAAGATTCAGTACCTGTAACAAAGAGCGTTGAATTAATTAAGAATAATAAACTGTAAAAGTGGTATGTAGGTAGATCGCGGAGAGAAGTAAAAGAACCGTTCGTAATAGAAGCTAGTTTATTACTGAAATGAAGAGCGGTGGGGGGAGCGCCTTATACGTATACGCCATTCCCTCCAACACTATTTTGTAGACCTGGTAACAATAGCAACAAACTTAAATTAAACACGTTTATCCTAATTTAAAATATAATTAAAAATAACTCTTATAATCTATTTTTTTCCGAGGTCGTAACACTCGTTCGGATGGTCTGGCAGTCTCTCCACCAGAATCCCTGATTGGTTCCTGAGACTCCATAACTACTGGATCCGCACAGCAATCCATAAAATCCTCACCGCCCTCATTCTCAGCCTCAAGCGTCCTCTCTTCTACCTCGCGACTTTGGTCTAAGACCGCGGCGGTGTTAGACCCTGGAGAAAAGTTATTTGGCGTTGTTAAGACCGGTGAGAATGAAGCTGGTGATGACGGCATTGTGAACGGCGGCGCTGCTACCACCGGTGACGTTACTAACGGTGGTATTGCCAATGGGCTTGACAAATTTTTCGGTGTCGAATCATTGTCAGTCGCCTCCGTTCCACCAGACATGTCCTTACTAGTGTGCTTTCTTATGAATATACTTTATTGCACAGATAAACACACGAACATAAACACATGTACAGATAAACATACGCACAACAGGCGGCCTTATTGCTAAGTAGCAATTTCTTCCAGGCAACCTTAGGATAGGAAAAGTACTTAGAAGGGGGTGCAACCAAGATACAAGATACCACAGCGATAGATTGAGAAACAATATTAGTAAATACTAATAATAAATATAGTATATAATATAAATAAATATTAATAATAAACACAATAATATATCATTTTAAAGTAAATAAATAAAAAAAATAAATACACAATGATATCAATGTAAATACATAAATAAATAATTATAAAAATATTTACTTATTATATTATGATGAAGGATTATAATAACAACAGAACAAGGACATTAAAGGCAGAAAGGGAAAGAAATCACTGCTCAAGGAAGTGCTCCTTGACACGTCGTTTGAAAGTATGTAAAGAGGGGGATCGTCGAATATTTTCAGGGAGAGAATTCCACAATCGGATAGCAGAAACAGTGAAAGAGTTAGAGAAAAAATCAGAAGAATGGGAGGGCATTTCTAAAGAAAGGGTTTGAGAGGAGCGAAGTGGACGGTCAAGAGTAGAAGCGTGAAAGACGAAACGTTCTTTGAGGTAAGGAGGAGCAAAGGTGTCGTAAAGAATTGAAAAAAGGAGGGAAAGGACGTGAAGGTCTCTACGACGGTGGATTGGTAGCCATTTAAGTTGTTTGCGAAACTGGGAAACATGGTCGAATTTCCGGAGTCCGAAAATAAAGCGTATGCACATGTTTTGGAGCCGTTCCAATTTATTAAGAAGAGTGACTGTCAAATCAGGGTAGCAAACATCAGCATAGTCCAGTATCGGATGTAGGAGACTTTGAGCCAGGTTAATTTTGGTTTTAATTGGCAGGTAATTTCTTAATCTTCTCAGTGAGAAATGCGCATTAAACACCTTCCTGCTAACCTCAGCAACGTGCGGTTTCCATGAAAGAGATTTATCAAAAATAACCCCCAGATTCTTAACTGATTCCGAAATAGGAATCTGGACACCATCGAACATCACCGGTGGAAGCGAGCTATAATCGATTCTTGATGCAAACCACGGACTACCAATAACGATGCACTGAGTTTTGGACGGGTTAACCTTAAGTCCAAAAGACTGACTCCAGAGAAGTATAGAATTAAGGTCGTTATTGGTAGCATTGACAGCAGATGTTATATTACTAAGAGACGACTGGGTGTAAATTTGCAGATCGTCCGCATAAAGATGATAGGAAGAAGTGATCGATTGAGTAATAGAATTGATAAAAATAGAAAATAAGAGAGGAGAAAGAACGCCGCCCTGCGGGACGCCGGCAGAGGTGCCACACCACGTAGAGAAGGAATCATCAAAAAGTATCCGCTGTCGACGTCCACATAGGTAGCTCTGAAACCAATCAATAACTGCTGGAGATATGTTGAGAGAACGTAATACTCCCAATAAAAGATCGAAGTCGACACCGTTGAATGCGTTGCTGAAGTCAAGGAGTGTTAAAATAGTGACTTGTTGTTTCTCCATGCCCGCACGGATGTCGTCAGTGATTTTAGTGAGTGCAGTAGTCGCACTATGACCGGTGCGGAAACCAGACTGGTAAGGATTGAAAAGGTTGTTACGATTTAGGAACTGAGTTAACTGATAGTGGACAAGCTTTTCTAGGACTTTGGACAGGAAAGGAAGAATTGATATGGGACGGTAGTCCGACGACGTACTCGGCTTGGATTTTTTAGGGAGCGGAATGATGTAAGCATCTTTCCAAGCAGTGGGAAAAACACAGGTGGAAACAGATGAATTAAGGATCTTAGTAATGACGGGAGTGAGGACATCAAGGAGAGGAACGATCATATTACGACTAATGCAATCACTACCAACAGCATTAGATGAAATAGCTAAAATGTTTCTCTCAACATCACAGTCAGTAAATTGATTAAGAACAAAAGAAGAATAATTAGAAGTAGGTAGTGACGATAGAAATTGCAAAGTTTTGTCTTTAACTGAACAGTCTAAGACAGAAGTCGATGAGAAGTGATTGTTGAGCTGATCAAGGTTAAGATCATGAGAAGAAGTAACACAGCGAGATTTGCCAATTCCTAGTGATTTTAAGAATTTCCAGACTTTTGCCGGATTGCCATTTTCAACTTGACTGTGTATGTGTCGTCTCTGAGCATCCCTAATCATCGTGTTACAACGATTGCGTAACCGGTGATACCTCTCACGGTTGTCATCAGAGGACACAGCTTTGAATCTAGCCTTTGCCCGATTCTTCTTGTCCATGAAATCGCGAAGTTCTTTACACAGCCAGGGCGCAGGGAGATGTTTAACACGAATTGGACGAACAGGAGCATGCACGTCATACAATTGAGTCAAATGTGATGTAAATAACTCAACCTGCTCATCCACCGAACCAGCGTCATTCACCACCGCCCAGTCAATTCCACTTGCGTCTTCTCGCAGTCGATCCAGGTTCATGGCCCCAAAATTGCGCTGCAGCAGGATTTTTGCCTTAGCCTTAGGCACACGCACCCTGTATGATAGGTATACAAGGTCGTGATACGAAAAAGCATCGGCTGGAAATTGACCATGTTTAATGACATGTTCAGGAGAAGTAACTATTTTTAAATCAAGGAGTGAGGGGGAACAGTTGGGGAAATGGTGCGTCGCGCTTGAAGGAAGAATGTGTAAATTAGAGGAGTTGATGACCGAAGAAAGTCTGCGCGACCGAGAATCATTTTTGAGAAGACATGTATTAAAATCACCCATTAGAATTGTGTGGTCATAGGAAGGAGAAAAATCTTCAAGGAGTTTTTCAAGAGAGGAGAAGTAGTCAATGTGTAAAGATGGACTATAGTAGACTCCTAGAAGTATTTTATGACCAGACAGAGTAATTTCGATAAATAGATGTTCTGCAGTGTTGGGTGGAGGTGGTTGAGGAGATGTACTAAGTATTACAAAGGGAATATGGCAACGAATATAAATGGCTACTCCACCGTGGGATGAACTAGTACGGTCATTACGAATAAGCTGGAAACCCGGAATACCAAAGGAAGTAGAAGGAAGACAAGGATTTAAGAACGTTTCAGACACAAGAATTGCATGAATATTCCTGTTGTCAAACGTGGCAAGCATGTCAGCGTAATGTGACGGAATGCTTTGCGCATTAATGTGAACTACATTAAAATTCTTGGGTAATTCTGAAAAAGTGTCAGTGAGCAAGTCATCAAGAGCAGGTAGGCTCTGAAAACTGTCATCCAGAGACTCAGAGGAACAAGACAAAAATAAGTCATCTTGGAAACCAATTGATATATCCATAATAAGAAATATTATATAAATACTATACGTATATATTAAGTGTGTGTATATAAATAAATTAATAATAAATATAAATGCAAAAAAAAAAAAAAAACAAACAATTAAAGTACAATAAAATTTCGTATCCGCCAGCCGCCCAGAAGCCCTAAAACTTTAAACTACTACACATACAAAAACAATTGTTTCATTTTTATAATGAGCAAGAGAGAAAGAAAACAATTAATACATGAAACGATAAGAGAAATAAATATATAACTACAATGGAACACACCTAAAAAAGTCATGGCAAAAAGTGCAAGCGAGATAGATATATACGATTACATCATGCGAATTTAAAAACACACTTAACGAATAACACTGAAAAAGAACAAAAAAGCGGATTCATATAAAAATAAATCGATTACTGTATAAAATCGTACTAAAATTTACCATAGCATTGCGAAAAACAAAAATTATAGTATTATCATGCTCTTACAAGACAATGCCAATAAATAAATACATGAACAAAAAAAACAATGAGTAAGTATAGTAAGTACTTATGATAAACAGTTGCAAATTATAGTAGAAGTAATTCAAGAAAGATTGTTACATACACCACTATTTCTTTGTAGTAGGTACACGCTTTCTACGGGCAGCCAAACCCTCCACCGGTCCTGACAATGAGGTGCCACTAATGTGCTCCTGGCGAGCATTGTTGGCCTCCACCGGCAGGACTTTCTCAAGCTCGGCCGAGGAGTTAATTGAATGCCGCTTACCACCTTCACCGAGCACCACAACACGCCCCTGGCTGGTCCAGCACTTAGACACTCCCAGCTTTGTCCTGGCCTCCATGAATAGATTATGGCGTCTTCGAGTCAGGAACTCCGACAGAGTGACCCCACTGCCCTTCAGTGCAGTCTTGGCAAACCAGACTCGGTCACGCAATTCTTGTGAGCAAAACTTAACCACAAGTGGGCGAGGCTTTGTAGTAGAAGGACGGCCCAAACGATGAGCGCGCTGAATGTCATCCAACTTCAATTCAGGCATATCCAGCTTTACACCAATGTTAACAGCCACCTGAACAGATTTCTCATTTTTGGCTTCTGGTATACCATGGATTAACAGCATATTACGCCTGGATCTTGTCTCCGTTTCATCACACTCCGTCATGAGCAAGTTCGTTTGGCTCTGGAGGTTTCTAAGTGCAGACAATGCGAACAACTGGAACTGCATAAATTCCTGGGCCAAGTTGCCGATGGTGATACTACCGCAGGGTGCCATCTTCTTCAGTTCCTCTTCGAATGCAGTCATTCGGGCTGAAAAGGACTGTGATAGTGCTTCCACAGTGTCTTTGATACTTTCCATAGTGAAGTGTTAGAACTGATGTGTTGTGTTTAGGAGTAAAAGTGAGGATTCTAGACTGCTAACAGGTACTTGAGTCTAAACTTTCATAATATACTATAATATGGCTTAAATTCAATATAATAACTATTTATTTTAATTAAAATAAATACTACAACAACAAACACGACTTCCGAGTTGGAGGTCTACCCCCAACCTTTCTTATTTGGTCTATATGACGTCTACACAATTTATCACTGTCTTTGAACTGTAATTCATACATTCTAGTGCCTATTAATTTCACAATTTTTGCTAGACGCCATTTACTTTCCCTAGATATAAAATATTTTGCCCAAACAATGTCACCGACCTGAAAACTCTTACACGCTTTATGGTTTTCCTGCTCGATTACGGAATCACTCATACGGGTAGTTGGCAATACTAAATCCAGCCGTGATCTCAAATTCCGGCCAAAAAATTGTTTTGCCGGAGTTTCATTTGTTGTACAATGTACAGTGTTCCTATATTCAAACAGGAACCCCCAAAGCTCTTCATTTATTGCTTTTTGCGTTACTCTGTTATTTAATATGCATTTCAACATTTTTTTGCACGTTTTCACTGAGTTTTCAGCTTGGCCATTACTAGCTGGATGGTAAATAGGTGACGTCACGTTTTTTATTCCGTTATTATTACAAAAAGTGTGAAATTCTTTAGCGCATATTTTAATGTCATTGTCAGAAACAATTGTTTTCGGCAAACCGAATCTTGAAAACAAATACTTCAACTTGACAATCAATGCTGACGTCGAGGTGCCGTGATTCATTGGAATGCATTCTAGCCATTTACTAAAAGCGTCGACTACAACCAGATATACGTTTTGCCCTACCGACATGTAGTCAATGTGGATGCGTAGCCAGGGCCCGGGCGGGCGCGGCCAGGGCGCTGGCGGGGCACGTGCCGGCGCGGGCCGCAGTCGCGCACACTCTTCGCACGCACCGATCCACCGCTCGATATCGGCGTCGATACCGGCCCACCACATTCTACAACGAGCTGTACTTTTGGTTTTTACTACTCCGAAGTGAGCCGAATGCAATTCCTGTAACATACGAGCCCTAAATTCCTTCGGTATAACAATACGATGACCCCGAAATAGGCACCCGGAATTAAATTCTAAATCGGATTTACAATGGTAATACGGTTGTATGTCTTTGCATTTTATTTTGCGCGGCCAGCCCCTATTCATATACTTAATTACTGTTTGTAATACTGAGTCACGCGCAGTCGCTTCTATTATGTCACTAAAAGAAACCGGTTGGATGTTTGCATCGAGGAAAAGGAAATATTTACCGCTATCCCTTTCGCACTCATTACTCGATGCTGTTAATGGTGCCCTAGAAAAATAGTCGGCCACAGCATTATTTTTGCTGTTTATATACTGCACCGTGTAGTTGTACGCGGACAGAATAACTGCATATCTCTGTAGCCTGAGTGCCGCGGTAACCGAAATGCCATTTTTCTTTCCGAATATAGAAAGTAATGGCCTGTGATCCGTTTTGAGTACGAAAGGGTCCTGTCTGCCGTACAAATACTGATGGAAGCGTTTTACCCCAAAAACAATCGCGGTGGCCTCCTTCTGGATTTGACTGTAGTTCCTCTCGCTAACTGTCAAAGACCGCGAGGCAAATGCGATAGGCCGTTCGCGGCCGTCTGCGTCAGCGTGCGCGAGCACCGCGCCGAGTCCCGCCGGGCTCGCGTCCACCGTGAGCACGAGCGGCGCCTGCGGGTCGAAGTGCGCGAGCACCCGCGCGCCGCTCAGCTCGCGCTTCACCGCCTCCAGCGCCTGTTGCTGTCGCGCGCCCCATTCCCACGCAGCTTCACTCCTCAACAGTTCATGTAACGGCAGTAACAACCCCGAAGCGTTTGGAATAAAATTGCGATAGTAGTTTACTACGCCTAAAAACCTTTTTACTTCCGTTACGTTTTGCGGTACAGGCGCACAAACGATAGCTTCAACTTTCTTAGGGCACGTTCGCAAACCGTTCTTATCGATAACGTAACCCAAATACGTCACGCTATCCTGGAAAAAAAAAACACTTATCTTTTTGCAGTCTTAGACCTGCATCCTGCAACCTATGGAGAACTTCCCGCAACCTATTTAAGTGAACCTCTCTCGTGGGTCCCGTGCAGCATATGTCATCCAGCCAGATGCTTACGCCTTCTATGCCGGCTAATAACGTTTCCATCGCACGTTGGAAAATAGCTGGAGCATTTGCTAACCCATAAACTAATCGCGTATATTTAAATAATCCGACTGGCGTATTTATGGTCGTCAGATTTTGTGATTTCTTTGAGAGGCGAAATTGGTTATAGGCGTTACTCAAATCAATTTTAGAATAATGTTCCCCTCCGCCTATCTTAGAGAATACCTCTTCTATTAATGGTAATGGGTACTTTTCTATCATTAAATCTTTATTTAAGGTACAAGAGAAATCTCCAGCTATTTTTACCTTCCCGTTTTCTTTTAGAACAGGTACAATCGGCGTTGCGTATTCTGAAAATTTTACTGGCACCAAAATACCTAACCCCACCAATCGATTTAATTCTTCGGTGACTTTATCTTTTAGGGCAAAAGGTACAACACGCGACTTGCAAAATTTTGGTTGTGCATTTTCTTTTAGGGTTAACTCCACTTCGAACTTGTTAAAAGTACCTAGGTCGTTTTTCCAAATGTGTGGGTATTCATTCAGTAATTTTAGCACCTCTCCGTCGCATTCATGAAAACTGTATACATTTGAAGTAAATTTAATTCCAAATTTGGCCATAAAATCACGTCCCAATAAGGGCGGGCCACCCCTTTTCACGACATAAAAAATGACATTTCGGTTTATTTTATTATAAGAGACCATAGTTTTAAAATAGCCCAAAGGAGTAATTTTATGACCGTCATAGAGACACATACTGAGATTACTTTTAGTCAGCTGTTCTTTTGGAAAATGCTCTAAATAAAATTTTTCCGATATTACGCTACGTCCCGAGCCACTATCTAGCTCCATACATAGATCTACCTCCTTAATTTTCACAGTCAATTTTATAGGCTCGTAATTTACGTACCTCACGTTGAATAATTTGCATTCCTCGCATTCATGGTCACTTTCCGATTGCACTTCGATATTGTGAACACGTGATTTCTTGCAACACACTTTTTTTTTTAAATGCCCTTTTTGGCCACAAATTTGACACTTATAATTTTTGTAACGGCACTTGCTCGCGACGTGATTCCGCAGACCGCACACGGTACACTTTATCTCGGCAGCCGCAGGCCCGGCCCGCGCCGCCGCCGCCGGCGCGCCCTGACCGCGCCAACCCTCGACCTTGTACACCGGCTCGTCCTTGACTCGCGCCACGTCCAGGATCGCGGCACGCGCTTGACGCGCACACGCCGCCTGCTGAGCTACCTCCAAGGCCTTGGCGAGCGTTAAATTTTTTATTTCCTGCTCGCAAAGGCGATCGCGTTCCGGGCCCGTTTTGAACCCTAAAACGAAACGATCGCGCAGCAACGTTTCCAGCTCCGCACCAAACTCACAATGCACGGCTAGTCCTCTGAGTCGTGCCGCCCAATCTTCTGCACTTTCGCCGTCGAATTTTGTCGCCTCATAAAATTTCGCCCTATCGGCGAACGTAGACCTCTTCGGCGTGAAATGGGCTTGCAATGCTTCTATTAACTGCTCGAACTTAAGGTCCTCTAGTTTTCGCGGATGCACCAGGTTACGCACCAGCCGGTAGGTATCGTCCGACAAATGCGTCAGCAGCACCGCCGCCTCGTTACCTTTTAAAACTTCTTTGTTTACTTTTAAAAACAACTCCAATCGGCTGCGAAATATTTGCCATTCCTGACTCCTGTAGTCAAATAACCCCAAGGTTCCGACCATGGAAGACATTGATATATTTTTTTTTATGTACGCGGGTAGAAAGTCACTCGTCGCCAGTTGGTA